TACAAATTATTATATTCGTTTCATGTGTAGGCCTGTATGTATGTATGTATGTATGTATGTATGTATGTATGTATGTATGTATGTATGTATATACTATATATGCATTAACAGTGTTCTTAAACTAAAAATAAAGAATGAAACTTACTACTTTAATGTGAAACCTGTGCTTGTTTTTCACTCCACAAATACTCAGTTCTGGGCTGAACTTGAGTTTTGGAGATCAGTTGTAGGAAATTTTTGGCTTTTGTGGGTTGCGGGTTTTTTTTAGCTATTTTGGGCTACTTTTAAAGGTGTATACAGTTTTTGGGTGATATATCAAACTGTCATGAAATAACTGCAAAATGCATCGCAGGGATGCACATGACGCCAGCATGCTGAGTTGGATAGGCTGGCCTCTTCCCCTCTTGCTGCACCACCAGTACCTCGTTCCCCAAATCCACCTTCTCCTTTCTCACCCCCCCTTCCACCTCCTCTCCCAAGGACCCCTTTGCAAAGCTAGAGGGGGGATGATGCCTTGCAACCTCCAACACCCCTCCCATTAATATTTGGACTCCTCAATCTCTCCTGAACTCTTGGCACCCTGATGCCAAAGCCTCCACCCCCCCCACCACTTTTTCCTCCTCCCTGCCTCCCCCCGCCGCCTTTGTGGGTGGCTCATGCTGCCACTGCTGATCAGGCCAGCCCAGCCCCAGATCTCCTGCACCTGCCTTGAGATGCAGCCCCTGGGCTGCTGCGCCTGCAGAAAGGCAGGCACATGCCAGCAAGGAGAACCCTGCACTGCAGGTGGGGTGACCCTGGCAGTCTCTCTCTCTTGCATGCATAGCTGTGGCTGAGCAACACAGCACCAGCTGCTGCTCTGCCATTGCATTTCCAAGCCTCCCTCCTTGGTAGCGCTTTGCATACCTCCCTGCTTGCACGTGTGTGTGTTATCCCTGCCCCTGCCCAGGCCAACCCAGTGTTGGAGGTTGGAGGATTTTTGTTTGGTCTCTGCTCATCACTGTGATCTCCCAGGGAACCCCTAGTGACTTCTTGTGGAACCCTAGGGTTCTGTGGAACCCCGGATGAGAAACCATGTCCTAAATAATTGAAGTTGTTATGATACAAATCTGCATACCAGCAGAGAAGCAGTTTCTTGAGACTGTTGTCCATTTCCTGGTGAACATTTCACTGCTAAGTACTGAGGATTTTCACTGAATTTGTTATTCATACATGGCACAAAAAATATCTTGTTGGTAAAGTTTCTGTGAATATAATTACTTCTGAACCTGCTAAATAATAAAAAATAAAAAGACTTCTGATATAAATGTGCAACTTATATGCTGGAAATAATAATTTGTACTTACTTTCCTAACTGAATGGGATAAAACATAGAACTACCATTTTCAATCAGGTGGTCTGCATCTTTTAAAACTCCTTAGGCATGCCATCTTCACAACTGTCTTCATCCTGAATCTCAACACACAACATAGAAAGATCAAAACCAAAGTTGCTTATATTGCAAGACACATAGCCACATACAGTATCAGAATTTTGGTGAGAGGGTGTTGCAAAGTAGAGAATCTTTGCTTCTGAATTTGTATTAGTAATTAGTTACATAATGCATTGTACTGAATAGATTTATCAGTTTCAAAGTTGAAAAATAATAAGTTCACTCAATCTATTCGTAAGTGCAGATGAGGGAGAAAACTACAAACAGGAAATACATATGGTTTTAAAAAGTTCAATTAAATCTAATATAGAACATCAGAAAGTTTCTTATCCAAAATTCTTGAAATAGCATATCTCCACTTCAAATCTCATTCTAGTTAGCATGCCATTACGTCAATAACACTTACTCGTGTAAGAATGTATTCAGATATAAGTATTAGAAGAGTGTTAATTTGCAAATTACTTATCACATGAAGGAATAACATACACAAATTCCATATGGCATAATTAACTACTTATTTTTGGTCTGATTATTATACTCCTCAGTCAGAAACACTGCTCCTGACATCAGAGTATATAAGTTGCAAATAGAGAAGCAGGAACAACTTCCACAAAGCAGGTATAAAGCTGGTGTAAACAACCCTACGTTAATTCAGAAGTGTATCACCATTTATAAATACTTCTAAAAGCTCTTTAAACCATCCTTCAGTTCTGTGCTGACTTGTACAGTAGATTTTATTTCAAGTTAGCTTGGCATCTCATAATCTTAGTCCTCTATGCAGATAAAGCCAGAAATTTTGCTTTATAGGGTTTCTTCCATAGTTTAAAAAATAGATCTCTCATTGTGGTTTAGGGGAAAAGAATACTGCAAACATTCCAAAGGAGGTAATACTTAGACAATTAGCTCCATATCAACTCCTCTAATCAATATGGTGTGCTGGCCCTGTTGCTAAAATCACATTTTAAAATAGACTGAAACATTAGAGAATGGATAATATGGATGGATACATGCTAAAATAGAAGTGCATATATATAATTATGGATCACTGTGGAAGATGAAATGAGTGATTCAGCTTTGTGTCATATAACATTTTTTTTAGATTACTTGTTTAATCCTTATGGCTGAAAGAAGCCATGGAAAATTCTGGGCACCACAAAAACACATAGTTGTTTTTAATTTTCTATTATGCTATCTGAAGGCTAGCAAAGGAAAAGTCCTAGCCAGCAAGGAGATTCTCTGTGAAGAGTGTAGATGTATAGAAACAGATGGTATTTCCTAGCTATAGTGCCATGTGATTTCTTTCTAGGTTATTTTTACAGAGTACATTATGGCTGGAGAAGGCTTATTATCCACAGATTCCCAGTGGTTTCACATTCCAAGAGAGAATTTTCAGTCCCAGTGAAAGGAAGTTCAGTGAAAATCATCATCTGAAATGGTGCATCTAAATTGAAAAAGACTGAGAGAATGTAATTACTAACATCTTGCTTATCAGAAGTATAGGGAGGAAAATTCTATATGCTCGTGCCACAAATTTATCTTGACAAAATGCTATTATTCATTTCTTCTTACAATATAGTTCTTCCTAGAAAATAATTTTATTTTCCTTTCTCCCTAAGCATTCAATTATTTTTTATGACAGCAATAAGGCTATAACTAAAAGTCAAATACATACAATGGTAGGTGCACTTATTAGTCTTGACTAAAAGCAGTTTAATGTGTGTTAAATGGGGAGACACAAACGCAATTCACTTATGATTTTAATTCCTTGGTTAGGATACCAAAACTGCTCTAATATACTAAACCATGTCAGGCTGTACTGAAATAAGTTACTTGCCTGGATATTCCAGTGAAGGCAATGAGACTGAACTTCAAAGGGTATTTAGACTGGAGTGTCCACATGTGACTGTGATCCCAATGAAATCCATATAGCAAAAAATGGTTTCACTTGACAAGGACTACATATGTCCTTAGAAGGAAAACTACTGAAAAAAGGATTGAAAGTATAGCTGAAACAAACTAGACTAGATTAGATTACAGCAAATGGTTTATTTGGGGGACACAAGTGAAGAGCAGTACGCTACTCAGAAATCGAGTCACTTCTCTTTTTTGAACAGTACTTTGCACCCTCTTTTATAGCAGACAGAGTTCAGAACAGAAACTGAACTAAAAAGTACAATCCAAAGCCTCATTTGCCACAAAACTGGGACACAGTCCAATTTACCGAGTCCAGATATTGCTTCAACATCAGCATTAAAAGAAACAACATCATAATAAAAGAAAAGGTGTTCTTGAACACTTCGGTTGAAGAAATGATAATCTGCCAATTTTGTTTAGTTCTAAAGATTATAAAAAAGAATAAACATATTTTATGCAATTTAACGTGTAATGCAATTAATAGATCAGAACTCCTTCCAAACAGCTTTTAGCTCATAAAAGCATAAAAGCTCTTCAAAGTTCTCTAATTCAATTGTGATTATGTTCTAAAATTGGACTTTGGAGTATCTAAAATGATCTCAACAATTATTTCATCATTTTGGTGATCCTTAGGTTGCAATCCTATTTGCATTTATTTGGAAATAGATCACAGTGAACTGAAGTAAGAGTATATAAGTATAAAAGAGTTACATTAAAATCAAGCCTCAGTTCTACTTTTTTGTATCAGTGTCAAAATGTTTCAGGATTAATCCACAAAACCTGCAAACCACAGAGTTACCATTTACAATGCAGGCCAGCTTTTTAAACAATATTTTAAAAATATATTATTCACTCAAATGTTTGGTACTGTAGCATTTAGGAATAATAATTTCTACACATGCTATAGAGCAATAATTATAAACAATAAAATAAGTTCAATTTTCTATCCGAATTATCTTTACCTAAAATAATATATCTTTTTTTCTTTACTATAAAAATCATGCTAGGTTCAATTATTTCCTACTTCTCATGTAAAAACTGTACAGTTTATAGTTCTTCATTGCATACGTTCATAGTTTTGCTCTACAAAACCGAGGCTACAATTCAGCATGTACTTACCTTGAACTAAGTGTGATATAGCTTAATGGAGTTGACTTCTGAATAGATTTGTCTGATAGGGGTAGGGTTTGGGGCAGGATGAAGACTGAGACCCTGCTGAATGGTTTGCCTTTTGGGGGGGTTGGTGGTGTTATATGTTGTCTTTGGGGTTGCTCATGATTTCTTTTTTATCCTTTGTAATATTTTTTAAACTTTCTAACTGTAAGCCTCCCGGAGGTGTTTTTTTTAAAACTTTCTAATTGTAAGCCTCCCAGAGGTGTTGGGAATATGAAGTCTATACATTCTATGAATAAAGACTTAAGAAATAGACTGTGCAGTGGATATACCAAGGCTCTGAATACCCTCCTAGAAATGCCTGCCTAGCTCCTTCATGGATGACTTTCCACCAACAAGAAAGTTGCCGTTTGATCAAATTTATTCTATTCTATTCTATTCTAGTCTAGTCTAGTCTAGTCTAGTCTAGTCTAGTCTAGTCTAGTCTACTGTACTCTACCCCACCCTACCCTACCCTACCCTACCCTCATTTATGCTTCATCCTTCAACCTAACAGGCTCCTGGAACAACTTGTAAAAAAATAAACACAGACAATCCTGTTCTCGGGTTAATAATCTAAAAAGGCATGGCACTGAAGAAAAAGGACATTCAGATACTTAATATTTCATTATTTCTGTAACAGCTAGTTATGATGGAAAAGGAGTCACTTGGTGAGGCCCAGAGGATACCATAACCTCCTGAATGCATGGCCCTATTGCTTTTTCTCCTAAGACAGTAGCACTCAATGGCCTCTGTGAAGAGAGAAGCCAAGCCTTGTGGGTCACAACCACAGCAAGGAGAGATGGAACTCCAGTTTGTCTGCTGTTTTCTCACCGGGCTGTTAGCTAGACTTAAGAGTTGAATGCAATTTCTCTTATGTTGCTGAATATTAATCTGACTGATATTGTATTATTCTATTACTAAATTGGTTTTATTTGGTCTTTTATTATGTACTGTTTGGTATCTGATTTAAATTATTATTCATTTCATTTTTTTATTTTTGGAAGACACCCTGAATACTAAATGTGGAAAGACAGGATACATGTTTAAGAAATAAAATGTATTTCAAAGATACAAATGAAAATCTAGTTAAGCCTTTATGCTGCCAATTTGAGTAGTATCTATGTGGTTAAATATAACAGAAACATATTAATTTCTCAGATGCTCCTTCCTGTGTCTATAAAAACAAACCATAGAAATGTATGCATTTCATGACTTGAAATGTTGGATTGTCATTAGGCTACTGTTTTATAATGTACTAAGGAGCTAAGCCACAAGAAAAACAGCTGAATATATAATCAGTGAGCAAGGTTATATTAAATCAGAAATATGACCAACAAGATTAGATTTGCTTCTTTGTTTACAGAGTGCTGGAAGTCTTAAATTTCCAGAACAGTACTAAGATAATTTAATAGAAAACAGGCTTTCATATGTATTCAAAAACATCTTCTGTATTAGTTTCTATTCCCAAAGATTTATCTTTTAACAATATTCACACTAATTCTAATCTCTCTAGAAGGTATCAGTTAATGGATAGGCTACCATTCAGAAACTGTGGGTATATGAAGGGGAAGAACATCTCTATCTTTATTTTTATATACCTATACCTATCTACCTATCTACACAAGTACATACACATGGACCCCACATTGCTTCGTAATTGTATTTATATAACAGGGCACTGTGAGCCTATGATAAATTTTGTAAGAACAATTTCAAAATAAAAACTGGGACAGCCAATCACAGTAACAAATAATTTTGCTGTTTTGTCTGTGGTAGACAATGAAAGAATACATAATGGATTCTGACATGCTCTTGTCTCGGGTTCAAGAATCTGGAAAACCTGGTCTCTGTAGTTCAGCCAGCAGAAAGATGGTTAACATTATCACTTATTAGTCACTGAAAAGAGGCTTTGCAGATGGCTATCCTAACAGTGGCTAATTCAAGAGGAAATCTT